CCCTTGTACTTGCTATTTTATATTTGGTTTTGTATGTAATTTATTTGTGTGACATCTTCCCAACTAGATTATAAGTTCCTTGATGGCAGGAACTGTATCTCTTCGACCTACCTTGAAACCACTCTCCTAAGATCATATCATGCTGCTGTTTGTTATCTCAGTGTGCCAAGGCGATGATTCTGGGCTTTCCAAAGCTGTGTCAGGAAAGCATTGGCTTTGTATGGAGAGGTAGAACTAAGAGACCTGGACTTCACTACCTCATTACCAGTGTGCTTTGTTTGGAAGTGTAGCTGACGCTGAAAGTGTCACTGAAAGAAAAGTGGTTCTGATTGTATGCACATGGAAGAAATCGTCGGTGGCAGCACAATCTAAAAACACTTAGGGAGAAATTAAAGGAACCAGAAGACTTCTAGCACTTTGGATAAATTTATGTGGTGGATATGTGTAAAGATAACGGCCAAATATCACACGAGGTGAGAAGGCATGAACTAGGGCCAAGCAGAACAGGTCTGTTCCTTCTTCTATATAATAGCCCTTTGAATACTTGAAGATAGCTGTGATTCTCTACTTGTTCCCACACCTCACTTTTGCAGGATTCCCAGGGGCCCAGGTTAGGTGTTCCAGAACTATGGAACAGGAGAAGAGAAGGAAGAGATATTTTATGCAAATCAGGTTTTGCAGTATGAGAAATTTCACCTACAAAAACCACAATTTAGAAAGCAGATAAAAGGGAGAATTATTTGGTTTATTTTATTTTTCAAGGTTTTATTGATGTGCTTTGTTTTCACAATACAAACATTTACACGTTCTTTTTCCCCACCCCACTCCTTCAGAGATCTCTTGTAACAAAGTAAAACAAGCTAAATTAACAATACAGTGACCTCATCTAAAAGTGCATGCAGCATTCATATCTCTAGTACTCCCCAACCTCTCTTTTTATTTTTTTTAATTAACAGAAGTTTATTTTCTCTCAATCCACCCACCATCCCATTGAAAGAAAAGAGAGAAAAAAACAAATTCCTTGTAACAAATACTATAGGCAAGCAAAAGAAATAAATCTATCATTGGCTGTATATAAAAATATGTTCCATTCTGCACCCTACATCTGTCTGCTCTCAATTTGGAGATCAAAGTAGTGTCTTCACACATTATATTTTACTGTTGTTCACTTGTTTCAGTCATGTCCGACTCTTCATGACTCTATTTGGGGTTTTCTAGGCAACGATAATGGAATGGTTTACAGTTTCCTTCTCCAGCTCATTTTACAGATGAGAAAACTGAGGCAAACAGAGTTAAGTGACTTGCCCAAGGTCACATAGCTATGAAGTACCTGAGGTCAAATTTTAATTCAGGCCTTCTTGACTCCAGGCTTGGCACCTGGCTGCCCTATTACACAAAGTATTTATAGATTTATGTTGATGTCTTACCCCCTACAAGACTTCAACCATGAAAATAAGGAAAATAATTAAACTTTCATTCTCCTCAGCAGTGTGCTCTGCACATAATAAACCCTTAATTCATAGTATAGTATGCTATGTTTTCTGTGTTTCTGGGGTCTTGCTGAAATGGGATCAATTAAGAAGTCTGTAATAGATCATTGAGAGATAGAATGGTGGGGTAGAAATAACAAAGCAAGAAAGTTTGTCAAAGTCCCATCGTTGCGTTACCCGGGACAAGTCATTTAAACTCTTCGTACTTCTTCACCTATAAAAATCTTCTCTAAAATTCATTGATATATACTTTCGACTCAGAGGAGGTCAGAACTAAAGCAGTTTATCAGAGCTATGTAAAAGTTGGTCATTTTGGGAGATAGTGGGCTCCCTTTCCCTAGAGTTCTTCAAATATAGACTTTGTAACCACTTACTAGGTATGTTGTAGAGGAGATTTATGTACAGGTTGGACAAGATGCCTTCTGAAGCCTCTTTGAAATTATGTGAAAGAGGATGAAAAAAAGGCCATTGAATTTGGTGATGGTTGTTATTGGTGGCCATTGACAATTTCAGTAGAGTTTTTAGAAACCACCATGATATCATAATCTCAGGTGTGCTGCATTAAAAGGATGAAACGGCATTAAGAAAAAAGAGATAGGAAAAGCAGCTTGACTGGATAAAATATTCCCAGAGGAGCTGTGTGCTGAGGTGATATATTTTAACTGGAGGTGACACATTTTTAAGGGCATTAAGGGATTTATTCTCAAGGTATCTGAAAGGGGAAGCCGTAAGGGTCAGAAAAAATGGACCTTGGACTTCATCTTTATCAAAATGTAATCAAGAGAATATTAATAACTACTGACCTGTATGCCTACTTAACCATTTCTACAAATGTTTACAACAATATTCTACTCACTTTCCAAAAGCATCCTTGATGATGAAAGTATGAGAAGGGAATTGTCAGGCTTATACAGTTGACTGAAAGATGTAGGGAGTACATTATCTTAATGTTGTTGATTATTAAAAAATATTCAGCAAAGCAAAATATTAGTCACTTTTAAGGCTGTCTTATAAAATGTCTTCTGTGTATATAAAAGATTCCTTGAAAAAAAATTTTTTGTGGATAGAGCACTGGCCTTGGAGTCAGGAGGACCTGAGTTCAAATTCGGCCTCAGACACATAACACTAGCTGTGTGACTCTGGGCATGTCACTTAACCCCAATTGCCTTACCCCCCCCAAAAAAATGGCAGTGGGGTTAAGTGACTTGCCCAGGTTCACACAGCTACTAAGTGTCAAGTGTCTGAAGCCGAATTTGAACTCAAGTCCTTCTGACTCCAGGGCTGGTGCTCTATCCACTGTACCACCTAGCTGCCCCTTGAATATTTTTAAAATAGAAAATTTTTAAAACAAAATACTTTACTCTCTGCCCTGATTAGTCCCAGTTAAAATGGTAATGGTGAGATGTAGGCTCACCGAAGATACTTGCAAGTATCATAGAGAATGTACAGCATAGAGTCTAAATGGGAGAGAATTTTTTCTAGCTTGTAGGCCCCTGTTTATGACGTTGTGGTGATTGGATCAAGCTCTCCAGCATTGGACCTATGGTCATGTAAGGGTTCAGCCTAACTGTCCGCACTGGAAAAACCAAGTGGACAAAGAATATCTGTTGTCTGGATTACCGTGTTTGCTTGAACGGATAATCCATAGAATTAGTTGTTCAGTATAAATATTTTGGACAGGCACTGCAAATAGACAGTGACCTGGTCCCAGAATTGAACAGTGGGAGAAAGGGCTGGATTGTCTTTGAGATACAGTGCAGTGCTTTAATGACCCCAAATCTCTTCCTGAATCAAAGGCCCAACTTTTAACAACCATGTTTTTCTTGTATTACTATTTGACTGTGTATTACTATATGACTGTATTACTATATTACTGTATGAATGATCCACCATTCCTGAAGAATGAAAATTAAGGGCTATCGAAGGACAGTGGAGAAGTACATTGGGGACGTGATTAGGATGCAGTATGTTACTGACCAAGTATTGTGCAAGATAAGAGTAGTATAACGGAAGTCATTGGAGAGATGTATGATCAGGAAAGTAGATGTTCTTGTAGTGAGAGTAAAGGATAACTGATACACAGACTCTCATTTTACATTGGTATGCGCACAATGTCAAGACATCAACAGAAAGACTACCAGCACATTGAGTGGAGCTTCTATGGAGGGTTCAGGGGAATAAGGGTGGCAAAAGTTACACAGAATAAAAAGATATGGGTGGGGACTATGACTTTGATTTTTGGAAGGAGTATCTACATCAGTGAGATTGTAGATACATATGTTTGCGACTGGAGCCAAGTTTGATAAATGAAGTTCAGGATCAGGCTGGGTAATGGCTGTTTTTAGTCGAAGGCAAACAGTGACTATAAAGTAATGAGGTGTCTTCTTTTGTGACCCACAAGTTGGCTCTATAGGCAGTTGCTGCAACACTTTACCAGGGCTACATCGTTCAAATACACAAAGTGTTCATTCTGAACACTTTGGGAGGTTGATGCTCATTTGGAGATATGTTCTGATACATATTCAATACTTAAAGTATCCACGATTTTTCTCTGGTGTAGGTAGGTTATTCTCTTCACATATGCAATTCCTACTATGACTTCATAGATGATCTTCACGAGATACTGTGGCTGCAAAATTAATTGTCCTCACGAAGCCAGTCTATTGATGGGTCTTGGACAAAAGATCACATCCATCCTTAGATCCATATTCTTTCTGTCTTGGTGTAGGACCTCCAGGAGTTTGTGTTTTGCTGGCATAGCCTTCAAAGAGCCAGGATCATTTCCATGTTACAAAAAAAAACATATAGGTAGAACAAAGTCTGACGTGAAGTCCCATTATTTTATAGCCATATTTTGTGTGGCCTGTGGTGCCAGTGAGATTAAAAACTCCTTGAGGATGGGCCCAGATTGTTTTATACTCATTAAGCAGAGGGAACATTGTGTAAGTATTCTCTGAAATGTTGAATTCTGGAAATTTTATAGCCTGACCATAGTCCTATACATCTACTGTACAGTTATCTCTACCCCATTGTGACTGTCCCCGTCATGGTTTCAGTGTATCACAGGTCAGCATAAGAAATTGAATGGGAATTTTTGTGGAAACTGCGGACAACACACAGAGGCCAGCAGATGACAAAAAAAGTTTAGAAACCCAGAAATATATAAAATATATGTTTAGTGATCAACCCAAATTTTACAGTAAGATACTGTAAGCACCCCATAAAAGAAAAAATATTCAGACTTCTGCTCTGGTATGAAAGGAAGGCCAAAAAATATTACCCAGATTTTTCACATCAAAGAGACACCACACCCGTAACCCCTGTAGTGTAGAAGGGATAACTGTAGTTTTATGCTAACTTGAATTGAAACTCAGCTACTTATTTTTCCCCCATCAATTTTTGATGCTTTATATTAAGATTGTTCCTTAGTGTAAAGCTATAGGCATGAGACAATATTATTCTTCTATACAGAACCTTGTAATAATGTGTATGTATTTCTCTCTCTTCTAGGCATCTTTCCTAACAAAGAAGTTAAATATTGGTGGGAAAAGAGTAAATCTTGCAATATGGGTAAGTTAACCATTTTTTTTGTGGCAAGTTTGGATGTTTCTGGAGTTGTTTAATCTCAGTAAACAGGAAATTGGGACTTGAGCTATCCAAGTTTTTGTTGTTGTTGTTGTTGTTGTCAATTGTTAATTTGTTAATTCTTTCTGTTTAAAATGTTTCTAAAAAGAAATTTTAGCAATCACAAACACAGGCGTTTAAATAACCAAACAGGATCCAAGAAGATTTTATATATTTAAATTTCTTTATTCATAGTTTTGTTTTTGAAGTGTGCTATGCATATAGTTTCCCCTTCCAACTTTTTTCTTCTGTTTTTTCAGAAAGCATTTTTTTCAACCATCTAGACTTTTTAAAATGTCAGTCTGCTTTTCTCTTTTGAGTAAAATATCCTGAACATAATAGAATTTTTGAAGGTTTTGTGGAGTGTCAAGAGCAAGGTCTTTCCCTAGATGTGGAAGTTAGAGGAAATCAGGCTGAGTCTGTACAGGCAGATTTACCTACTCTAGAAATAAAGGCTACATTTAAAAATTTAAACATTTTAGATTCTCCTTATTCTAGTATTTCCATTCTCCTCCTATGGAATATTTCATGTTAAAGCAGTTGTATTTTAGCAGTTGAACCTTTGAGCCTGTGTAACTAGAAGAATTTTCATGATAACAAGTCTTTTGTCTAATCTAGGACACAGCAGGCCAAGAGAGGTTCCATGCATTGGGTCCAATTTACTACAGAGATTCAAATGGAGCTATTTTAGTTTATGATATAACAGATGAAGATTCCTTTCAGAAGGTATTGTTTATCTTTTTGCTGATAGCTTGAATTTATTATTTTGTAGTCATAATGAAATCTGTTTTGTGAGACAGTTGAGTTAAACTTTGTGAGGACTTGGATTGTTTTTTGTTTTTCTTATTTCTATGACCTGGTATAATGTTTTATGCATAGCATGTGCTTAGTGTTTCTTAAATTGAATTACTGTTCATTTATAGGTTAAAGGTATAGTCAAATAACTGGTGACTCAAGTGTTTTGAAATGGGGTAAGATATATATATGTGTATGTATATGTATACACACATAGAGACATATGTACATATATTTAAAGGAGTCTGTTAAGGTATCTATTAGTTTTTCATATATTAGGAAAAGGATAACCAGTTTGTAACCGTATGAGCTTCCATTAACCCATTTCTTAAAGCAGTAATGTCAGACTCACATAGAATTAGATTCTTGTGGGCCAGTGATTTAGAAAACCACAAATTAACATTAACTTTGTTGTGTTGTATTTTTATTTATTTTATTCAACATTTCTGGTTCCTGCAACACCTCCTGTTTGATACTTGCTCAAAGTATACAATAATTTAGTAGTTTGGCCATACCTTGGTTTGACTGTTGCACCATGCTATATACATAAAAGAATTACTATCAGAAATCTAGCCTGGGCCAGATACCATTTCCCACCAGCTACACACCTTGGATTCAACATGTTCCCAAGAAACTCATCATCCAGGAGATTGCATTGCTTCAGCTTTGGTACTCAGACCTCATCAGCATGTTGAGTAGCCTCAACACCTCTGATTGGAGGGCAGAGCAAAAACTCTTTCCAAAAGCACCATTTAAAGAGGACTCATAGCTTAACTCTTTTCCCCTAAATGTACTCCTTGGATTTGACTCCACCTTCATCATACCCCTGTGGTACCTTTCCTTCCTCTCCCTGCCTCCCCTTCCCTCCATCCTTATCACCTTCCTTTTGTGTGTTGTCTTCTCCCATTAGGTTGCTTGAGGGCAAGGACTGTTTTTTTTGTATTCCTATTGCTTAGCACAGTTCCTGGTTGTAGTAGTTGCTTAATAAATGTTTATTGATTTGAGGATAAAATGCTGAGAGGTAAAGAAAGGAAGCTTAAAAATTGGAACTGGTGTTCAGGGAATCAGTAGAGGTAAAGTTGGAGTGGGAAGAAAGAACAGCATGTTTGGGTCCTTTGTCCTTCCCTGAAGTATGTGATGACTTTGTGTAAGAATTTAGTTCAGGCCAACTATTTTAAAAAAACCTTTCCTACTCCCCTTCCCCTGCTAATCCAGATTGCAAATGATAGGTCTCTTTACAGATGTTTTGAGGCCAGAAAGATTATAAATGAGTTGGCTCAAAATTTTCTGCTGGTTTTCCTTCATACTTAAGGAATTATGGACAAATGAAATACCACTATGCTTTTTCTTAAATCACTACTTTCTTAATGAGGAATATGTAACCAAAGTGGGTAATTTTGTAGTTGAAAGCACTTTTCATCTTGAATTATAAGCTTTCTTTGGTGCTGAAATATTTAGCTGACTCTTTTATCTGGTGGCTAAACCTACTTCTAATTTTGGATATTCTTGCTTGCTTGAAAGCAGTATAAAGACATGCAAATTAGCCCCTGAGTGTTAATAGCTAGTGGAAAAACGTTGCCCAGGAAGTGGAAAAATTAAGTGATAAGCAGCCAGTAGCTGTTAGAATTCCTGATGTCTTAGTGTAGTCGTGGTTTAGTGTTAATATCATTTCTCCTTGGCCTATTAGGTGGGACTAATTTAAGGTGGTTTATTTGTAAAATATGAGAGAACATGTGAAGGGACAAAGAATAAAAGAAATCGAATATTTTGTCTGAGTAAAGGTGAGTTAAAGGGCGGGAGAGTCTTTTGGAGGTTAAGCAATATATGGAAAGTGATTAGGAAGAAGCAGGGAGCTAATGAGGGATTACATAATTATATAAATAAACTAAAGTAAAAAGAATCTTATCAAGTTGTAAAATGTAAATGCAAAGCTACGTTTGTTAGAGTAAGCCCCATGTGAGTTCTGTCATTTCACTTCAGAGAACGAGGAGGGTATGACGATTGTGATAATACTATCAAATTCTCCCTGTGGGAAACAGAACAAAGGATGAAGGTTAAAGGGCCTACAGGATAACAACCTATGTGTTATTGGAACAAAGAGACTTGGACGATGCTAGACTCAGAAATGTAGGGCACAGTACTGTTGAGCAAGTAGGGGAGATACTATCCCTTTTTCTTTAGTAGATCAGAAATCCTTACAGAGCTTCCTCTGAGTGTGTTCTATGGTCCTACAGCAAGAACTGTTGGAAATCTGAACTGCTTTTTGGGAAGTACTGAGTACTAGGCACATAGCTGAAACTGTTTTTTGTTTTATTTTTTTAAAATTTTAATGTGTTTTGTAGATTTTGGCTGAGCTGAAAGTGATTTGATTAGATTAGACTCCATTTTAACAAAGGAGCATTTATACTACTTGTATTGTAAAAGATTTCGGGATACCCAATTCAAATGAATCATTCTTTTTGATTCATATAAATTATGGTAAGTTTTGCTTGTAGAGTTACAGGATATAGGAATGATTTAGAGGGATTATTTAGCTTCCTTTTGCTGCATCTTGTTCTCTATCAGAATTGTTTTCACTTTCTGTTTATCTTGTTGCCTTAAAAATAAATTTTTTTCTAAGCCTTGGGGATGAGGTTTACTCATAACCAAAGAGACTTTATGCATGGTTTCAGAAGTTAAAATTTTTTCTGTTATAAGGTGTGACTTAAAAGAGTGAAGACTAAAGTTATTTCCTTATAGTAAATTATTTATAGGAGCATATTGTGTTAATAGCAAAATACTGTGGTACAAGGCTTGGCCTGTATTTAAATACATACTTTTTGTATACACAGGTAAAAAACTGGGTCAAGGAATTACGGAAAATGTTGGGAAATGAAATCTGTTTATGTATAGTTGGTAAGTATTGTTTACTTTACGTTATTTTGATATAGTCTATGTCCTTCAGATTTCATGGAAGAAACATTTATTTTTTAATGTTTCTAAAGTTAAGTCAGAAAGGTAAGAAAGTAGTCTTTTAAAACAGCTTAACCTAGAATCAGAATTTCAGTGTTGAAAGTTTTAACATTATCTAGTATAAACTTTGTTTTAAAGATGAGACGAAGTACAGAGGGATTAGGTGGCTTGGCCTAGGTCACTTTTAGCATTACCTGTTTTTGAAAATTGATTTGAGTGAGCTAGCAAATGATTCATTTCAAATGTAATTATTTCAAATGCTCTTCGTTTTTGAAAAGATGACTCAGATAACTTACTATCTTAATTAGGAAAATCAACCTCATTTAATTAAATTTGCATTAATATAAATCATTTTTTTAAATGGAAAAAGTTATTACTTTTTTACAGGTCTAAAGAGGCAGCAGAACGATGACATACAATGAGCACTGAACCCATAGACTTGGGTTTCATTTCTGGCGTGGCCAGTTTACTATTCTTGTGACATGAGCAAATCACTTAACCTTTTCGAGTCATCTCACTTGTAAAAATAGTGAAGTTATTTGCCCTGCCTAACTTACAGGGTTTTTGTGAAGATTGAAAGAGGAAATGTGTAGCATTTTGTAAATGTAAACCACTAAATCAATATAAATTGCTATTATTTTATTGGTGAAGCATTGTGATATAGTGGATAAAAAGCCAGCCTTGGGTTTAAATCTTGCCTCTGACATACACTGGCTGTATGACTCTGGATAAGTTACTTAACCTCTCAGTGCCTCATAGCAGCTCTCTAAGATTGTAAGTTACATAAGAGGTGCTGATTAGTAGAGTAATTTTCTCATTGGGAGTTATCTAAACCAATAAAAGCATAGATGCAGTCCAAAAAAAGTTATTTCTTAGCAGTATTCTTCATGAGCATGTCAGAATCTTGGCTATAAGGGAACTTGGCAATCTTCTAGTCCAAACTTTTGAACAGTATCTAATACTGTTTTGGGGGATAGCTAGGTGGCACAGTGAAGAGAATTGCTGGGCCTGGAACCAGGAAGACCTGAGCTTAAATCCAGCCTCATACACTTAGTAGCTGTGTGACTCTGGGCAAGTCACTTAATCTCTCTTTGCCTCAGTTTTCTCTTCTGTTAAATAGAAGTAATAATAGCACATAGTTCACAGAGTTGTTATGGACATCAAATGAGAGAATAGCTAAAGGGATTACTATAGTGTCTGGCACATATTAGGTACTATATAAATATTAGCTAGTAGTAGTAGTAGTAGTAGTAGTAAGTGGATATCTAGTGATTTGAACATTCTCAGTAACAAGCAGTCCACTCTTGTGCAAAGCAGACCTCTAATTGTTAGCAATTTCCTTTATATTGAGCTGAAATCTAACCCTCCAACTTCTACCTGTTTTGCTAACTTAAGCCAAGTGGAATGAATCTAATATTTTGTCCAGATAGACTTTGATATATTACATTCATGATCCTATCAACATAGGTTCTGTGTTCTGTGATACAGATCACAACCTCTCCATATCTTTCTATATCATTTTTGTACATATCTTTCTGTAAATCTTTGTAAGTGATCCTAGCATCCTAGAGATCTTCCTCTGATTCTTTTACTGTTTTGTGCCTATTCCAGTATAGCCCATGGGCTGTCTGTCTGTGGCTATTTATGTTTTCTGCATGACTAGTCTATATTAATTGCATGTTTATACATGCCTTGAGTAATGTATTTCTCATGCTTGAGGCATTATTGGTGATAGGCTGTAGTCTGCTTACACTTAACCATCTATCTTTCTCTTTTTTGGCATGCCTACAATTTTGATTCTTTCAAGATGGTATTCTGTATTTTCAACCATATTGCTATGCTCAGAGAATAATGATGTTTTGAAAATGGGCTTTTGTAGTAAAAAACAGTTTGGGATCATTAAAAGAACTGCACAGTCTCTTAAATGGTATTCTCCTCCATTCTGGGCTCAGTTAATTGTCCATTTGTGCCCAAGGAGAAAGGTGGATTAGCTGTTTGTTTAACCAAATATTATAATAACGTATGTATCTCATGCCCTTCTCAGTGATATCCTGTCCATGGTCATTCAGAAAAGATTAACCTTTCCATCTGCAATAATGGTGTTAAATTCAAATACAAACGGAATCCTGAAAGTTACATATTGACTTAGAAAATCACACATTAAAATTGTTGTGTTGTATTTTTATTTATTTTGTTAAATATTTCGCAGTTAAATTTTAATCTGGTTTGGCTCGTACTGGAGAGTTTTGTTTTTGTTTTTGCTTTTTTTGGTGAGGCAGTTGGAGTTAAATGACATACCCAGAGTCACACAGCTAGTAAGTGTCAAGTGTCCGAGGCGGCATTTGAACTCAGGTCCTCCTGACTCTAAGGCCGGAGCCACCTATCTGTCCTTGTACTGGAGAGTTTTGAGGAGTTTGACACTTCTAATCTATAATACAAAATGCCAAAAAACAAATGGAATTAAAAATATTTTTAGTATGTCTTCAGACATTTTAAGATCACTATCATTTCCCTCTTTTCCCACTTGCAGTTTTCTCTTTTCCAGGGAATATTGTTCTGGATATGATTTCCAGACCCTTCACTGTCTTAGTCATCTTTCTCTTGATAGATCCCATTTAGTTATCCCTGTTAAAATGTGGCACACAGTACTGCATATGATATTCTGGCTGTGACCAAATAGAACTCTGTAGACTGATTCAGGTGGGTCAGTGTGCATCTTTATTTCTTCAACTCATCATGCACTTAATTTCTGAACACAACCTACATTAACATTTTTAAAATAATGAATGTCATCATACAAAATGTTAGTCTAGATCCCTCTTCATTATCTATCCACTTCTATATTTGTGGATATTATTTTTATTAATCAAAGCTTTACATTAACTTTTATATACATATCATTGCCTCAAATCAAGCTTGTTAATCCCATCTAAAAACTCTGGGTCTTAACATGCCAAGCCAGGTATTGGCCACCTGTGGGCTTGAAGAATTGACTTTAAAAATGCTATCAGGACTTTTCATTTTTCCCAGTTACATTTCATCTTGTTAATTTCAGCTAATACCAGTCCTATTAATTGATTTGAATTTTTATTTTGTCATCCATCTTAAATAACTTATAGCCTTTGGTTATCTGGAGATATTTCTGTGTATACTTTCTATATCTTTAAGTTACTTTTGGTATGAGTTGAAATAATAGAAAAAATGTAAAAGACCCTTTACTTCTGTGGGTTTTCTTTTTCTTTCTTTTTCTGGGGGGTTCTGGATATGAAATAAATAGAAGCTAGTGTTTAGATTTATTTACATGAAAAAATTAAAAGTTATTTTGGAATGCTGGTTAAAGACCATAGTAAACCTAATAAAACTGATGTAGTGCATTAAAGTTTGCAGAATGCTTTGCAGATATCCTGTTAGAGCCCTTGTGAGGTAGATGATAACAGGTATAATCCTCTTTTGTAGGTGAGCAAACCAAGACTCACAGACGCCGAGTAATTCATTCCTTGTGTAGCTACTAAGTGTCAGAAGCAGTATATGAAGCTTGCAAGTGTTGTAGCATTTTATCCTTACTGTGCTACACTGCCTCAGGGAATTAGGTATTTTTAAGGTGTTGTGATGGAGAAGCAACCTAGGGAATGTGAATAGAAAGCTAGCATTGGAGCCTGAAGACACGAGTTCAAGTCCTGTTTTTTCTGATATAAATTAGCTATGTGCTCCTGGGCATCTCAGTTAACTTCTCTCTAGGCAACTCTTTAACATTGTAAGTTGCAGAAAAGGTGCCACCGTGTAGTGGATAGAGGGAATTTCTTAATTCAGGAATTCTTTACACCAATTAAGTCACATATTTAGTTCTTCTCTTTATTGTGATATAACCCTACCTAAATTTTTTTAAGCTCAGAAATGCATAAAACATGTTGATATTATTGTATAATATCAACATATTTTATCTTTTAATACCATAAACACAATTTCTTTTTTAAAGTTAAAATATGAACAAATATTTAACCCAGATTTTACAGTAAAGTACTGTAAACATCCCATAAAAGAAAAATAAAAAATTTAGACTTCTTCTCTGGTATGAAGAGAGGGCCAAAAATTTTCCAGATCCAGATCATTTTTCCATCTCAGTGTGGAAGGGATAACAGTAAGTGTAACCAGGACAACAATTCATACTATAACCAACATTATAAAATAGACAATATTGAAATACTTAAGAACTCTGATCAGTATAATGGCCAAAAATATTTCCAAATGACTGATAAAGAATGCTGTCTACCTCTTGACAAGCAGTAAGATTAAATATGCAGAATGAGACACAGATTTTTTAGACATGGACATGCTTGACTATGTATATTTGTTACAAGAGTTTTCTTTTTCTTTTCTCATAGAGGAGAAGGGTGGAAGGAAGAGGAAATACATGCTTCTTAGTTTAAAATTTTTAATTAAAATAAGTTAGGGAAGAGATGAGAATAAAATTCTGTATGTCAAATAGGCATGATGTAGAGGATTTTGCTGTCTACATGAAACTTTCTGAAGAAAAAATGACCTTAATATAGTATTTGAAGATATGTTTCTGATGAGATTAAATTGCCCCCTACTCCATCAAAAAGTACTGAAAATGCAGTAACTCGGTCATTATAAAATATTATGAAAGTACATCAATGCTTCAGTCACTGCTTTAGTTGTTTGGAATGTCTGATTGGTGAGATGACATTCCAGGTAGCAATTTTAGCTCCTTAAGCACTTAACTTTCTTTAATTTTGGATACTTTTGATGAAAACCTTTAAAAGTTTATTATTTGCCTGCCTTATTAAACTGAATATGCTTAATCTTCACTTGATAACTTTGGGTAGTCATTATGACCACTGCTTACTGTACTACATTATAACTATGACTGTAGTTTATAAATGGTGGGAGACAGGGCAGAATGGGTCCTGTCCCTAAGACCCAGCCTATCACAGGTTTCCTGGACCTTACCTAATTTTTAAAGGGGGAGAAGGGAGTAGGGTTGAATATGTTGGCATTGCTATATTTCTACATTTATTAAAAGTATACGTAGTTTATTAGATTCAAGACTCATCATGAGATAAGTAATTAGAGTCAGTAGCTCAGAAGAAGGAAAATTATTCAGTATCCATTGGTCTTAGGATATATCTATCATTTGAGATTAGCTAGTGAATTGAGATTAGCAGTGAAAGTAAGGGAACTCATTTTCAGAAGGATAGTTTAGTTACAAGAAGAGTGTCTATACTAAGAGCATATGGGGGATCAGAGGTTCAGAATTTACATCAGGTACATTAGCACAGACATGATGAATTGAGGTGGGAGAAAGACTGGCTTTCAAAAACCCCAAATTTAGACTCTTACCTCTTTACCACCTTGCACTGACCAAGAAAGGATGAAGTGATACAAGTTCTGAAACCCAAAGAAAGATAGTTTGGGGATTTTTCAAGGCTATAGCCAGTGGATCAAGTATAAAATAAACTCCAAAAGTGGGGAGAAGGGATGACGTATAAAATGGGAATATTTGTTGAGGCCCCAGAACCCATAATCAAGTACTGGGGGAGTGATTCCCAAGGGTTAAGACAGCAGATAAGCCAGTCAAAATGATAGCATGATCTAGAAATGAACTGATCGATATCAAAGTCAAACTTAGCAGATAAGGCTGGGCCAAAGGAGGACTAAAAAGTATTGACCTAGTGCCTTGAGGCTAATGTTTAATAAAAGGCTTAAACCATGTGAACCTGGAAGCTTGGTAAACCGTTTACTCTTTTTGTTGGTTTCTGTCTATCTTCTGTCCCAGTTGTATGGCTGCCTGTGCAATGCTTTGTAAACAACAAAGACGATATTATGATTGGGGCGGGGGGGAGGGGGTTGGTAGTACAGAAGTACAGAAATAGAAGAACTCAGGTTCTTTTAGCTTCAGGCTCCTAGGGTTTAAGGAACCAAGGAAAATGAGGATAAGTAGTGGTGGTAAGAACCTGGTGGCTTGTGCTAGCCAGATGGATTCTGGGCTGAATTTAACAAAGTGAAGTGCCTTCATGAGGGAGAGGCTGCTGGGAGAGGCAGCAGAGATGCCTCCGAGGGACCCAGGCATTTATGATCCAAATAGTTCAGCCACAGGATGGATAGAAAGATAGAAAGGCCTAGAAGAAGTCCTGTTAGCTTAAAGAGAATTAATAATGAGGTTTTGAAGTTCTTTGTATTTGATAGTAGAAAATTATTTTACTATAACTTCAATCAATTGAAAGTTTTATGATCATAGTTGTTTTGGTTGTAACTACCTGTATTTGTAACCTCATGTCATGAAATAACATCTTGTAGAAACTGCCCTTATAAATGGACTAGCTTTTTTGTTGGTTATGGGTCTGTAGAAGTAGTTTTGCTATTAACTTTAGTCAGTGCATAGTCTGGTATTTTCTTCTTTTGTCTGAATTTTTCACTTATAATGTCAACTAAGAACCAGAAAGTTTGTAATCTGGAGTATTAAAAAATTGTGAAGTGGTTGTTGTGGTTTGTTGGTGAAAATAAGCCATTACTAAAAGTTTGTATTTAATTTTTTTCCCAACTAGGTAATAAGATTGACTTGGAAAAAGAAAGGCATGTTTCAGTTCAAGAAGCAGAAACGTAAGTTGTGATTACTTCTTTAAAATAAAACTATGATTCCTTTCCCCTCCCCCCAAGTATTTAAATAGTTTCTTTTAATAAAGCCCTATTCTGCCTCATTGTAGTGTAGAGTGTCTATGGCTATGGTGTACTCCAAGGCTGTATTCTGGTTTCCTTCTCTTTTCTCTGTACATTCTGAATTGGTGGACCTCATCAGCTCCTGTAGGTTCTGTTTTCATTTTTATGCATATGATTCTAGAATCTATATATTTGAAGCCCTTGTTTCTTTTCTGAGCTTTCTAGCCCCATAACCAGTTGCCTATTGGACATTTAAAAGTAGATATCCTGAAGCTGTCTCAAGCTTGGTATGTCCAAAACAGAACTCATATCCCTCCCTCCCCTTCTAAATTTCTCAGTGTATATCAAGGACACCACCTTTCTTTAGGTCACCGAGGTTCACAGCCTGATTGTCATCCTTAGCTCCTCACCCTCACCCCAAATCCAGTCATTTGTCATATTTTCTCATTGCTATCTCGTCAGCATCTCTCACATATGTCCCCTTTCCTTCCCACTCACCTAGCTATCACCCCTTGTTTGGTCTCATATTAGGTGGCGCAGTGGATGGAGCACCGGCCCTGGGTTCAGGGGGACCTGAGTTCAAATCCGGCCTCAGGCACATAACACTTACTAGCTGTGTGATCCTGGGCAAGTCACTTAACCCCATTGCCTAACCCCACCCCCAAAAAAACCAAACAAACAAATAAACAAACCGTGACCTCCTAATTGATCTCCTTGACTCTAGTCTCTACTGAAATTCATGTTCTCCATACCACCAAAATGGTTTTTCTGAAGCTCAGGTCTGACCAGGTTACCATCTTATTCAAATTACCTCTAGAATCAAATAGAAACTTTTCTGTTTAGCATTTTAGAGCTCTCCAAAACTAGTCTGCAACCTACCATTCTGGCCTGATTACACAGTATTCTCTTCCACACGCTCTACAGCCCAGCCAAATTAGACTTCTTATCTCTTGTCACAACCATCCTTTGTACTACCTTGTCCCTCATGAGTAGGGTGCTCTCTTGGAAATCTATTTTCATTTAAGACTTAATTCAAGTATCAGGAGCCTTTCTTGCCTCCTCTTCCTCCTCTTTCCTCACCTCCCCCCTAGTTTCCTTATATTTGTGTTGTCTGTGTTTGTATATACGTTTGTACATGAATGTTATTTCCCGTTAAATGTTGACTTCTTGTGGAGAGAGAGTTTATCCCTTTTACCTTTGTATCTTCAGTATTCAGCACAGTGCCTGCCACTTAATAGGCTCTTATTAAGTGCTTGATTGGAGCCATTCCCTGATTGATAAATGGTCAAATGATATAGACATTTTTCAGAGGAAGAAATCCAAGCTGTCAATAGCCTTATGAAAGTGTTCTAAATCACTAATAATCAGAGAAGTACAAATTAAGGCAGGTATGAGGTGTTGGCTAAGTTGACAAAAAAAGGAAATGACATACTGGAGGGGCTGTAGGAAAACAGATACATTAATTTACTGTTGGTGGTGCTGTGACCTGGTCCAGCCAGTCTGGAAATTAGTTTGAAACTATTCCCCAAAGCTTTTAAGGTGTGCATACATTTTGACCCAATGATACTGCTACTGGTTCTGTATCCCAGAGAGATCAAAGAAAGAGGAAAGGACCCATGTGTAGAAAAAATATTTATAACAGCTCTTTTTGTAGTGGCAAAGAATTGGAAAGTAAGGGGATGCTCATCAGTTGGGAATGGCTAGACGAGTTATAATATATGAATATGGTGGAATACTACAATGCTATAAGAAATAATGAATGATTTCAGAAAAACCTGGGAAAGCTTGTATCATGCAGAGTGAAGTGAGCAGAACTAGGAGAACAATTTATACAATGACAACAGTATTGTAAGGACAGTCAACTCTGAGATTCGGGAATCTGATCAACACAATAACTAACCACAGTTCCAAACGACTTATGATAAATTATGCTATCTGCCTTGGGATAGAGAAGTGACTCAGAGTACAAATAAAAGCATATGTTCTTTTCTTCCCTTTCTTTTTCCCCTTCTCTCTTTTCTCTTCCCCCTTCCCTCTTTTTTCCTTTCCTTTTTCCTCCCAGCCCCCTTCCCTCCTTTTTGCCTTCCTTCTTTTCCCCCTAGCTCCCTTTCCTACTTCCCTTCTCTCCCTTCCTTCCTCCCTCCCTTTCTCTCTCCTTCCTTTACTTTTTCCCTTCCTTCCTCCTCTTTTCCTCATTCTCTTTCTTTCTTGGACATCGCTAATGTGGGAATCTGTTTTCCATGACTACATATTTATATTAGCCTCTGTTGTCTTTGTCTTCTTAATGGATTTGGGATGGAGGGGGTGGGGAGATTTGGAACTCAAAATAGTTTTTAAAAGAAAGTTTAAAAAACTAAATGATTGATTGGAATTGACCTTGGGTCTTAAAAAGGCTATGCCAGTGGAACCACACTCCGGCTTTTTCAGGTTCTCACAAGCCAGAAAGCCCACAAGAATGGGCTTAGTGCTTGTTAATTTCAGAGAGGTTTATCACACCCAGGTGGCTTTAGCATACTGAATTTTCTGACTAGAGGAGTTGTATTCTGCATCAAGTGGAGGAAATGTTCACACTGGCAATCCACATTCTTTAAATATTGAAGTGAAGTATTTGGGTAACTTAAATAACTCCATAAAATTGGGCAACACTTGTCCCTTTATCCACTTAGCGAACAAATACTTACTATATCCTGGCCTATTATTTACATAATTCTTTGATTTCATCTCTATGGATATTCACTGTAATGGAATAGATTATGTACCTTCTCATATTATGTGATTATTGACATAGTCTTTCTGTAAAACTTTGATAGAAATTCTAAGCCAATGTGCTTTCTGGAAGTGTTTTAATAAAGACAACCTGGCCCAGTGAACCATTTTAAAATAAATCTTTTTTAAAATAGTTTCTAGAAACATTTAAATGAGTATCTAATTTACCTCTACTTCAAAAAGAGAATAAAGATGATATAAACTGATAATGATTGGCAGTGAATGAAAAAGCGTTAAGTGTATTATGTGTTAAGCTCTGGGGATACGACTAGAAAAAATGAGATAGTCCTTGCTCTCAAGGAGCTCAGTTTATTTTGAAGAAATAACATGTAAAAAAATTTAGCTGTGAGGTGGGTGGAAAGGCCCAGAAGACCTCAGGGTACAGAAGGAGGGTGAATGGCAAAGCTTCTGGGTTTTTAGGTCCTTATATGAGCAAATTAGGTAGCTGGATATTTGCCTGTTTGGAGAAGTAAATTCCTTTTGGGATTGTAAATTTATATTCCAGTGATTTATTCCAAGACCACTAAAGCTTGTAAATGTTAAATCTAATTTGGTTAGAATCCAAGATAGTGACTAAAGTATCAGTCAATCAGTAAACATTAAGTGCCTTCTATGTTCCAGACACTGTGCTACCCGCTGAGGATACATAAAGAGGTAAAAGACAGTTCCTGCCTTCAAGGAACTTACATTCTAACAAGGGAGTCAATATGCAAATAAATATATACAAAGAAGATATATACAAGATAAATAAGAAATAGTTAACAGAAGGAAAGCACTAGAATTAAGAGGAGTTGGAAAAGACTTCTTGTAGAAGTTGGGATTTTAGTTGAGCCTTGAAGGAAGATAGAGAAGCCAGTAGGAGGGGAGGGACAGCCAGGAGACCAGTGTCATGGATTGGAGAATACATGTCAGCATGTATAGGTGTGAGAAGACTGGAAAGGTAGGATGGGGTTAGGTTGTGAAAGGCTTTAAATGCCAAACAGAACATTCTGTATTTGATCCTGAATGCAATAAGATTGAGTAGTGGGGATGACATGGTTAGACCTGAGTTTTAGGAAAGTCACTTTAGTGGCTTAGTGGAGGACGGATCAGACTGAGGAGAAACTTGAGGCAGGTAGACCCACCAGCAGGCTATTGCAGTAATCCTGGTATGAAAATGAGGGCCTGCACTAGAGTGGTGGCAGTGTCAAAGGAGAGAAGGGGGCATCTTGGAGAGATGTTGCATAAGTGAAATCAACAGGCTTTGGAAACAGCTTGGATGTGGGGGACAAGAGATAGTGAGGAGTTGAGGATGGTTCTTAGATTGTGAACCTGAGTGATTGGAAGGATGGCAGTTCCATTTACAGTGATAGGGAAGGTGGGGGGGGGGGCGTGTTAAGGGGAAAGATAATGAGTTCTGTTTTGGACATAATGAGTTTAAAGTTGTCTGTTAGACATCCAGTTTGAGATGTCTGGAAGGCAGTTAGTGATGCAGTATTGGAGGTCAACAGAGTCTGAGGCAGGATGTACCCATTTGATTTGAGAATCATTAGCATTGTTGTTCAGTCAGTTTTAGTCCTTTTTGACTTCATGACACTATTCGGGGTTTCCTTGGCAAAGATACTGGAGTGCTTTGCCATTTCCTTCTCCAGTTCATTTTACAGATGAGGAAACTGAGGCAAACAGGGTTAAGTGACTTGCCCAGGGTCACACAGCTAGCCAGATTCAAGATGAATCTTCCTAACTCCAGGTCTGGCACATCCACTGTGCTAGCTAACTGCCCCTGTCATCAGCAGAGAGATGTTAATTAAATCTATGGGTGCTACTGAGATCACCAAGTGAAGTAGTATAGGAGAAGAGAAGAGAGCTCAGGACAGAACTCTGAGGGACCCCTGTTAAAGGGTGTGATCTGGAGGAGGATCCAGCAAAGGAGACAGAGAGGTAGGAGGAAAATGGAGAAAAGGCCATTGAATTTGGCCACTAAGAGATCCTTAGTAACTTTGGAGAGAGCAATTTCAGTGAAATGACACGGTCACAAGTCAGATTGTAAAGAGTTAACAAGAGAATGAGAGTAGAAAAAGTGGAAGCAGATACTGCTTTTTTTAAGGGTAGAAGAGATAAGATATTGTTAGTGGGGTTAGAAAGATCAAGTGAGGTTTTTCTCTCAGGATGGGGCAAACATGGGCATGTTTGTGGTCAGTAGGAAATGAACCAGTAGACAGGGAGAGATTGAAAATAAGGGAAGGAATGGGGATTACAGAGGGGTCAGTCTGTTGGAGGAGAAGAGATAGAATTTGAACAGAGTAGAGGGGTTAGCCTTAGGTAAGGAGTTAAGCTACTTCATGTGAGTCAAAGGTGAAGGAGGAGAGAGTAAAAGAAGGCATCTGAGTGATAGGAGATGAGGAAGAAGAAAGAAGAGGGAGTTCACTGTGAATAGTCTCAATGGTTTTCTGTAAAGATATGAGGCAAGGTTGTCAGCTAAGAGAATGGGGGGATGGCCCAGTTGAGGTTATGTAATGTAAGTTTGTAGTGGATCAGTCAGAACTGTGTGATTTTTTTTTTTTCATCCACCTTCATTCAGCAGCACATTTGTAGAAGTGAAGTTGATGAATGGTGGGAGTGATCTAAGGCTGAGGCTTGGCTGGGTGTAATTGGCGATATGGTAAAAGAGCTCAGGATTCAAGATCAGAGGACAGCGTAGAGTTGAATTAGTTCACCAAGGAATCAGGATGGGGAGGAGAGAGCATGGCTAGGACAGAGCAGAGGGCCTGGGAGATATTTGAAGGGTCATGGGATTGGGGGTTATAGTGAAGATAAAAGAGTAGGAACATAGGGAGAGGTGAAAGGACAGGAGATTGTGGTTAGATAAGGGGATTTCGGAATTCTTGAGGTGGTACATTTGCGGGTGATGGCAAGATCAAGGATTTTTGTGTGGGGCTAAGGTGGGGTGGGTAGCTCATAGAAGTGAATTGAGTGTTAGGATATTTGAGGCAGAATCAGTATGTATATTGAATTCCCCTGGTATAAAGGCAGGAATTGAGAAGGAGGGAAAAATTGTGAGTCAGGTACTGAACTCGTTAAGGAAGAAAGGACAGTGACCTGGGAGTCTGTAAATTATTAACTAGGATTTTGATTTTATGGTAGGTATGAGTAGCATGAACATTAACAGAAGAGAGTTTACTACTGAGTGATGGAGGAGGAGGAAGAACCTGGAAGTGGCAAATGAGGAGCAAGGGATATTCCAACTTCCACACCTTGAGCTGAGGAAAATGAATGAAGGTGCAGCCAGTACTGGGAAGGGTGGCCAGAGAAGTTGTGTCATTTGGAGGAAGCCAGGTTTTAGTTGTTGTTCAGTCTTGTCTGACTCTTTGTTACCCCATTTGAGGTATTGTTTGCAAAGAACTAGAGTGGTTTGCCATTTCTTTCTCCAGGTTATTTTACAGATGAGGAAACTGAGGCAAAGAGGATTAAGAGATTTGCCCAAGGTCACATAGCTAGTATCTGAGGTGAACTCAGGAAGATGAGTCTTCCTGTCTCCAGGCCTTGCACTCTATCTACTGTGACACCTAGCTGTCCCTAGGTTTTAGTAAGATCTAATAGATGGAAAGAATAAGGGAGGAAAATATTTACTGTGAAGGAGAGTTTGTTGCCTATGAAACAGGTATTTTAGAGGACACAGTGGAAGGTTTGGGTGGAGTTAGATTGAACCTTTGAGGTGAGAGAGTTGAAGGGGATAGAAATGAGGAATCAGGTGGTGGGTGAATAGGGAATATTGGTTTGGTTGATCATCTTCTGGAGTTCAGAGACACTGAGATATGAAGGGTGTGACCAAGTATTGTGATCCCTTTGTCCAGTCCAGCCCAAGACAGCTTTACACCCACTAAAGTAGAAAGAAACAGGCTCAGGCAGTCACATCTTAACTATTATTAATCTATTATTTGCAAGGGGGTGGGGGTGGGAGGGAAGAGATTATAAGAAGGGTCCAAATAGTTGACTAAAGTGTGTTCATATTTGTCAACAATTGAGTCTTAGACCTAAGCCTTCTTGTTTTCCCGCTCCTGTGTTTGTATTTATCTTTTTACCATCACTTCATATGTTTTTGAATTTCCTATTGGTGAAAATGACATTTTTATATCTGAATACTTCAAGGACTTGTGATTTAATTGGTCTAGGTACTAACCTTAGTACTGCAGATTACCACATCGTTTATGCATTGGTCTGCGTTGTTGCAACAGTGACAACCACCTACCACCTGTTAGGTATCACACCTTTCGGTGATGAGAATTTGTGTATATGGTTATGAATGAGTTGTTACGTGAAAAGTGAGATTGAAAGTATTTGGGGGGGAAAAAATCTCTTCATGGAATCCTACCCTTTCATAGTTGAAGGCTCCTAAAAGGTCGTCCAGTTCAGCCTGTATCTGACTAACTTCCACACAGGTAACAAGTTAATGGAGCATTAATGTGAAATTGAATCCAAGTATCAGCTTTGATTCACATTTATTATTTTGGAACATATGAAGATAGCTCAGAATAAATATGGACTAAGTTGAATACCACGTAAGACATGGACTTTTCTGGCTTTTTAAATTTTTGGCATCTCATAATTTAGTTCCTCTTTTTCTAGGTATGCAGAATCAGTGGGAGCAAAGCACTATCATACTTCAGCAAAACAAAACAAAGGGATTGAAGAACTTTTTCTTGACCTTTGTAAAAGTAAGTGCATTCAGATTCAGTATGTTTAGAAATGTTACTCTTATTATTAACAATATTCCTCTATGATTGGGGAAATGAAAGGCAGTCTCAGTTTATATTGTAGTGCTTCTGTTATGAAGAAGTTTAATTTCTATGCTCTTTATTTTAAAAAAAAAATTACTGAGGTTTGGCTTCACTGAGGTTTGAAAGGAAAAGGGAGTATGATATTTGAATGTTTGTTGATTCCTTTATACATTTTAGATTTTCTGTTTATGTTTGCCACAAATATTTTTCCCAGTATTGTTCTGAAAAGTCATGAAAGACCTTTGTGAAATAATAGGAACCATAAAAGTAGAATAAGAAGAAAGTATATACTAATTAAAACCTTATAAAAGAAGTCTGCAGGCACAAAGGGACAAATAAAGTTGATGAGGAAAGTGGAGGTAGTTAGATACCAAATTATGGATATTTTATATCCTGGATTTGATTTAGTATCAAAAAGTTGTTAGTTATAAAGCAGGATGAATTTTTTTTAGTGTCTGAAGTTTATAATATTAAACAATGTTCATTAAGGAACCCTTTCCCTAATTTTTATTTTCCATGAGCTTATTAAGCGATAATCTTTTGTGTGTGATTGCCTCTTATAAAGTGGGAGGAACAGTTGTTGGGCTCCCCAGATCTTTTCCTTTATTTTGTATCATGTCTGATAGTTTTGATTTATGACAAAATACTTCTATAAAGCAGTTGAAGAAACATGGAGTAATTGGATAGTCATCTTCACAGCCCAGTATTCTTGGGTTGAAGACTTTCCTGCGAAACACACACTGTGTCTTGTGTGACCCTGGGCAAGTCATTTAAATTCTTAATGCCCCACCAATGCAGAAATTTGTTTTGTTTGACTGTATGTGTTTATAACGGGTTTGTTTGTTTGTTTGTTTTGCTTTCTCAGTGGGGGGTAGGTAAGAGGGAAAGAAGGCAGATCTTTAAAATAAAAATAAAATATCATTTAGTTAATAAAATTTTAAAAAATTCTTAGTGCTCCAAACATCTCTAAAGGTGTAAAAGTTGGAAATTTGAATTAGTAGATGGAATTTCCCTCACCAGGAATTCCCTGTATCAATGAAATGGCCTTATTTCTCCATTTCTCCCCCACCACCTGTAAAGTCTGTCATGGCAAGTTCATCTTCATCATTAACTGTAGTCTTAATTCTTTTCTGAATAGCATTTTAAAAAGACCAACATTATACATTTTCATTTCCCCAAAGCAAAATTTTTTCCCCCCAGCATTTAATGTCATGTGACTATGATACTCATACATAGATCTTGGTTGATAGTCTAAAGACCCACAAAACTCATTATAACTAAACATTGGACATTTACTTTTTATTACATCTTGTGTCACATTTGTAAATTCCTCCCAAATGTAAGTTTTTCTGGGTTGGGACTACTTCAGCATAGTCAGTTAACAAATGGTTGAATTAAATTGGACAAGTCATTTTAAAAATTATCTAACGTAGTAGGGTATTAACATCATAGAAATGTCTTTTGAGGCTTCTTAGAGAAGGTAGGGAGCCAGCTTCTTAAAAGTATTTTTCCCCCCCTCAGGAATGATTGAAACAGCTCAAGTGGACGAGAGAGCAAAAGGCAACGGTTCCAGTCAGCAGGGAGCGGCCAGGCGGGGCGTCCAGATCATTGACGATGAGCCGCAAGGACAGAGCAGCGGAGGATGCTGTTCTTCTGGATAACTGTTCTCTTCAAGAAGATTCTGAAAAACAAGAAAGCAGAACTGTGGATCATTGCCCCCAATATGAAGACTGCCATATTCCAAGTCACATTCTTTTACCAATGGAGTTATAGAATTAACAGTATTTTAAACTTACATTTATAACACTGCAGAGACCTTAAGTGCTAAACTAGTGGAGTGTGTGACAAGAGAATTGGCGTTTTCTACAGCGGTTAACAAAGCAATTTACCAATGGCCTTTTTACATATTTTTTTCCTTTAATGAGGAATAATATGCATGTAGAAAAGACCTACTTAAAGGCTTCATTTATATTCTTTTAAATCAAATCATTATTTAATAACTTATATATGTTGTTGTTGGAATGGTATACATTTTTGCAGCCCTTTGTATTTTGTGGTAGGTTGTGAATTGTATCACTTCTAAACAGCAAATTGATTTTTTTTTATTAGCAGATACCTGAAGTACTATTTTTGCAGGGTTAGCAAAAGCCCATAACTGTCAACTACTTTGATATATTCTATATTCATCCTGTATGCTGAGCTGGTAAAATCCATTGTAAATTACATATTAAATATTTTATCTGCTTTTACAAGTGCAGGTGCAGAAACATATGTACAGTAGTCTTGTCAATGACTGTAAAGTGAATTAACATTTGGTGAACATGCATAAGCTTTTGACTCTATAGTCTCTATATAGGTCATTTTCCCCCTTTGCCCTTAAGTCTTCACATAGAAGAGCGTTTTTGAAAATACTCACATTTTACTTTACTTGAATTGCTGCTGCTGTTTGTTGCCACATATTTTGCCTCTTTCAACCCTTTCTAATAAACAGCAGCATTTTGCTCTGTTGCTGAAAAGAAAGGATGATGGCCTCTGCTGATTCTGCTGTAGAATGATTACCTAGAAGTGTTTGAGTGGAGCATGTTGAGCTTGTCACTTTTGCTTTGGCTTCCCCTTAAGCTTTATATAAAACTTGTTTGTGGGCATGGGACAAGAATGTAACCCCCCTTCTCCTCCCAGTAACAGCCACTAACCTACCAAGACACACAATCATAAATAGTTCATCATCTCCTGAGGCAGCACTTTGAGGTTGGTTTTTTTTTTTTTAATGAGCAAGTTGTTCTATGAGGAATGTTTATTCCTGTTCTAGTCTCCTGAGTTTGTGAAGGTAACTTCATATAATGTGGCATAATTAACACTGGAAAGAATTTATTATAAAATTTATATTCTTGCACACTTTGTAAATGAATCCCACTTGAGTAGATTTTCTTTTGAGGGGGGAATAAAATTATTAAGACATGTTTATTTTAATAGATTCAAAAAATACTGCACACAGAAGGAACACAAATTGTGGAAATTAACTGATTGTTGTTGTGTTCTGATATTTTTTCCATTTCTGTTATGTTTGGAAAAATGAGTAAATGTGATGTCTAAGAAAGTGGAATGGTCCCTGGATTTACTTCTCATAATAGTCAGTAATGCAATTAGAGATGAGCAGAGGATAGACATTGAGGTTTGAGATTTCTATAAAAAGCATAGTTAACTTCTCAAGTAGGTAAGACGAGGCTGAATGTGTTTGGTATTGTTAAGTCACAATCTTGCCAGGGGCCACCTGAAAAGAGTGGATTTGTTCATTTCAAGGTCCACTGTCTTCTTCCCCAATCCATTTGGGAGGGGAGGTAAATGAAAGTGCTTGAATGCGTGAACCTGCCTTCTTATGTGGGCAGAAGAGCACTTTGCCTCTTTATTTCTTTATCTTTTCTGTGCCAGGGACTTCTGTAGGGAATTCTTTTTTTTATTGCCTGCCTGTTCCAGACAAATTTAAAAAACCTTTGGTGTTCGAAACTTACTTAGAATAGACATATAATAAGCACTTTCGTGGGGGTGAGATGTCCCTCCCTTCCCCCCAGAACCCATAATTTAAAAGTTAGTGAATTTGAGAGAAGACCGGTTTGACCGTTATTCCAAATGAAATACTGTAAAGGAAAAGAATTTTAGTAATAACATTTCTCTTTTTTTTAATCGAGGCCTATAATTCACTTTGTGATGAGTGGTTCCTAGTGCTGTCATTGAATTTTTGTGTTATACAGGTAACAGTGCACTATTGTCACTAATATCTGAGGTGATTGACAATATTCTTCTTTTCCCCACAAATAGAGTTCATTTTTCTGTCTCCCGGTCTTTCTCCCTTTTCTCTTTTGCCTTACTTTGTATCCCCAGTGCTTAGCACAGTGCCTGGTACATTACAAGGCACTTAATCAAAGCTAGTTGACGGACTGATGCATTTCATTCTTCCCTGCCTGTGCTTTAAAACTGCCAAGGATGTGCACAAATGCTATGTAATACCCCTGTTGGTACTCAAAGAATAAAAAGCAAAAAGGTCCTGTTTTCTGTCCTACGGAAAAGATGGTATGGAAAGAGAAGAAGGGACAATAAATTAATGTACTAATGTAAAATTACAGGGGGAGTAATTAATTTATGCTTATACATGTTTGGAGATATATTTATATATATTTCCATCCATCTCTCTAATTGACTAATGTAGACCATTTTGTCCATATAATATTTGTAGCCTAGAAGAAACTAGAAAAGAGCGCATTTATAAATGGTGTATAGGCAGGCAGGACTTACACTTTTTCAATCATTTAAGTGGCTATAAATTCTATACAAGTTTTTCTCAAATATGTTAAGAGAAAGAGTCATGATATTCTAATCGTGTGTGGGGGAAAGAGTCTCCCTTTTCTTTGAAAACAAATGGAAAAACTCTGCCTTCAACTTAACCATATGCTGCAATATTATATTGAATGATTTTTTTTAAGTACTACTACTTTTGTTGTGTGAAGTTTGTGTATTAAAATTTCTTATTCCCTGTGGTCTTAAGAAAGCCATTGTGGGAATTTAAGTAGCATTGTAATCCAAGATTAGCATAGATAACCGTACCTTGTTTTTATCTGGCAAAGAGTTAAAAAAAACTTAAAATATTTAAGGGGAATTTGAGGCAAGTATAGATAAAATTAGAGAAGGGAAGAAGAAAAGGAGACTAGAAATTGAATATAATTTTGTCATAGGATTTTTTCTTTATCACTAATTTATCATAGCATAAAACATATGAAGAATGAATCATGTCAAGTTCTTAGAGTCTTAAAAAAAAGAAATTGTTATACCATTTTTATTTTCTTAAAACTTGTTTGATGGTTCCTGCATGCATAAAATTAACAGCATCAACCTCTTAAATGCTTCTTTCTCACTTCTATTTTTTTACTTTTTGTATATGAAAATCTTAGAATAAAAAAAATTGAACAATATCTTGAGCTCTTTGGAGGAAAAAATAACAGTAAAGAAATAAATTTAAGATAGATTTTTAAGATATAAAGTAAAAGAAAGTAATTTTTAACCACTCGAAATCATAAAGCATCTTTTCTCAAGAGGATGTGAATGGCAATGTCCTGGTATGTGCCTATTTAATACCTGGAGGAAGCATTAACTAGATACTCAACAGACTGTTTCCTGATTCTATCCTAGCATTTTGTTTACTTGATTTTGCTAATTTTGTTAAAAAGTATAAACTGTGGTCCTTTGAGGATATGTATTTGCCCAATTTAGTAAGACAGGACAGCTTTGTTTTTTGCTGTTAATTTGAAAATCAGTGACCAAGAATGTATATTTTGAACTCAAAACTATGCTACTTTTATGATTAACTTTCAGACTTGGGTTCCTTGATTCAAGGAGAAAAATAGACCTTGTGGGTTGTCCATTGGCTATCACCAAATAGATTTTGGTTAAAATTTCCAAAATTGGGTAGCATTTTATTTAATGAAAATGTCTTCATTCTTGACATAGAATCATGACATCCTGTTGGAAAACCTTTAATGACTTGCCTTCTAAATAAATTTGAAAGCCCTCTGCAATCTTGGTTCCTACCTTTTTCCAGTGTTTTCTCACATAAGCTGAGCTACTTCCTTTTTTAAAAAGTAACTTTAAAATACGAACTTAAACATGAACATTTTGGTGTACAAAGAACAGAAGAGGTGATTGTATATGAAAGTGAACTTCTGTTATGTAATTTTTAAATATATATTAAATATAACACAATAGTAGCAACTGCTCTGATTGTGTCCCCTTCTGAACTTCTGTTCTCGAGTGTATTTTAAAAATGTTTCATTGATACTTTGTCTCTTCATTACTTATGCCGCCTGCCAAAAAAGCGCCCTACTTTGTAACTAAAAGACTCAAAACAAATCAACCTGCCCTTCTCAAACTTGTCCATTTTATCTTCCGTGATCATTTTTTCTTTAGTTAAGAACTCTTCCCTCATCGATAGTTGTAAAAAGCATCTCCTCTTTCATTTACATTTAGATCATATCCATTTGTAACTTTTTGTTAATGGTGTGAAAATATGTTCTAAACCTAACGCTACTTGCTTTCCTTTGTGCTTTGCTGTAACTCTTCAATCATATTCCCTTCTACTGCAATCCTATCGTTAAAGGCCAAGTTCAGGTGCTATTTCCATTAAGCCTTTGACCCTGGTAACCTGACCCCTTAGACCTCTCAGGTTGCAAGTGATTTTTGCTTCTGGAACTTTCTCACAGCGCTTCTGTGCACATACATATTCAAGTTTGCATGTTGTTAGCCTATTAAAAAAAAAAGTGTTAGCACTTCATTGAACTTCACATAAGGAATTCAGGGTATTGAATGGAAAATAACTCACTTTTAAGTCATTTAATGTTATTGGATGAAAAATGTTTATTTTGAATTTATTATTTTAACCATTTTGAGTGTCTGGTATGTATAGGGTACTGTAGAAGGTACAAAAATAAACATTCCCTCTAGAGGTTATTGCCCAGTTGAATTTATATGACACCACCCTTCTATTTATAGATCGTTTGTCCCCATGACTTTTTTTGTGGGGAGATTTAAGAGGAGTGTAGAGAGAGGGTATAGGAGCCTTACACCTACTCTGCGGTTAGGGAAGGAATTAAAGGATAAAGAAAGAAGCATGAAGCAAAGAGGGAGGCTTACGAGTGGGTCCTAAAGAGAAAACTTCATCCACTTCTTAATTCTGCCTAGGGTGAAATCAGTTATGACTATTTGCTTCCATATTTCTGTTTAGATAGAGATTTTAATTTGTATTTGCTATCCATGAAATTTAAATTCTTAATCCCTAGTTTAAAGCTTAGACTATAGATTATCCTCAATTAACTGATGTTGTAGTAACTACTTTACCTTTCTATAGCACTTGAAGGTTTACAAAGCATATTCCTCACAGTAGCCCAGTAGAGGTAGTTAGGGCAGGAATTATTCTCTTTTTACAGATAAGGAAACCGAAGGTCAGAGGTTTTAAGTGACTTAGTCACACAGGTAGTAATGTAAAGAATTGAAATTTGAATCCAGGTTTCCTGAACAGTCAAGTCTAGCGTTCTTTGTACTACAGTTACTAGTGGAAATTGGCTCAGATCACTGGGTTATACGGTCTTAGCAAAGGAAGGTCACTATTAATCATTGTTCCAACTTTGGTGGGTAGGGTGAGTTGAAGTTCAGTCAGGCTGTATTATGGGTAGGGAAGGTAAACAACCTGAACAATTGACCTGGAGAAATTTTAGTGGCAGTAGAGTCCCTTGAGGCAGGTATCTGGGAAACCTTATTGCCTAAGCATTTGTCCACGTTGTTCAGCACACCCTTTTATGGGTATGGCTAAAGTAGGGATAGGAGATAATTAATGGGCATACCATCAAGTTGGAATAAATTGACAAATATGCTACAGGAGAAGCATGGCTCTTCACTGTCTTTTAGTGAGAGTGGTTCAGCATACTTAGCATGGACTTCTATAGTAGGCTACGTGGTTATTTGATTGTCTCATTTCTATATAATAGTGCCTTCTAAAAAACTTGAAAAATTTAAATCCTATTTTTTTTCTTAAGCATTTTGGAAGATGTTTGGTGTATGCAAATAATTGCCAGGTAAGAGGGGCTATCCAAGGATGAGCTTTATGAGCTTGTAGAGGTATGTGACACAAAGAACTATTTAAAAAAAAAAACCACCTTACATAGATGGAAAGAGGCAAGTTGAAATTTCTTGTCAGGACAAAGTTTCTAATAATTTTTGTTGTTTCTCAGTTGTGTCTGACTCTTCATGACCCCATTGGGGTTTTCTTGGCAAAGATACTGGAGTGATTTGCTATTTCCTAATGCATCTCATTTAAAGATGAGGAAACTGAAGCAAACTGGGTTAAGCAACTTGTCCAGGGTACACAGCTAGTGTTAATCTAGACTTAAACTCGGGGAAAATGAGTCTTCTGGACTCAAGGCCCATCCAACTCGCTGCCCCAATAAATGTTGTTGAGTTGTTTCTCAGTCCTGTCCAATTTTTCATGAACCCCTTTTGGGGTTTTCTTGGTGAAGATACTAAAATGGTTTGCCATTTCCTTCTCTAGCTCATTTGACAGATGAGAAAAATGAGGCAAGCAGGGTTAAGTAACCTGCCCAGGGTCACACAACTAGTAAGTGTCTGAGACTGGATTTGAACTCAGAAAATGAGACTTCCTGATTCTAGGCCCTGCATTCTTATCTACTTTGCCACTTAACTGCTTTCTAACAATTAGAGCTTCCCAAAAGCCAATGAGCTGCTTTAGCGGGTAATAGGTTCTCTTTTCCTAGAAGTCTTGAAGCAGATGATGGATGACTGCTTAAGTTTGTTATAGCATGGACTCCTTTTGGGTATGGGTTAGATTAAATACTTCCTGAGATCCTTTACAATTTCTTAGTTTTGTGATCCTGTGCTAAGAAGTTCAAACAATGCTATGTGAAATCTAAAGCTGGGGATAATGGATCAGGATGTTAATAGACAACCAAATGAAGAATAAAGTAATAAAGCTGTATACATATATTTGCAGATGGTATCTATGGGCTTTTAAAAATTGTAATTTTACATTCTTCAATAATAAGAATAACATTTATATAGCTGCTACTGTGTGCCAGGCATTTTGCTAAGCACTTTACAACACTCAGAACAAACCTGGGAGGTAAGTGCTATTATTATCCCCATTTTACAGATGAGGAAACTGAGACAAACAGTAAATGACTTGCCCAGGTTCCCAGAACTCATCTTCTGAGTCCAGGCGCAGTGCCCTATCTACCATGTAACATAACTGCCCCTATGATTAAGCATTTATTTTTTCTCCCTACCCACCGCTACCCACCTCTCCCCCTACCCCGGGGAAAACAAACAAACCTTGTAATAGATGTGTATAGTCAAACAAAACAATCCCATATTGGCCAAAAACGATCTACACATTCTGTATCTTCCATTAGCCCTCTTGTCACGAAGTGGTTAGTAGGCTTTATCATTGCATTTGTCAAGTCAGGTCCACAAACATTAATCTCCTGCTATGTGCTATATAGCACCTACGCTGCTACAAAGCCAAAAACAGCTGGTCAGAGTTCTTAAGCCCTTCAAAATCGCTCATTTTTACAATGTTATATTTACTTATCAGTTATCTAAGTCTTCCCAGGTTTCTCTGAAATCATCTCACGATTTCTTGATGGCACAATAGTCAATAAACATTTAAGAGCCTATTATGTTCAAAGTGCGAGAGATGGAAAAAAGTCTGTTCACAAGGAGCTCAGTCTGATGGGAAGACAACATGTAAACTGTACAAGCAATATATAATATAAATTGAGAATAGTTAACAGAGGAAAGACACTAAAATTAAAGGGTATACAGAAGGTTCGATTTTAGCTGAGATTTGAAGGAAGCCAGGAAGCGGGTGGTGGAGAAGAGGAGGGCATAGGGGTTTGTCAGTGAGAACGCGTGGAGTCATCCAATAGTATTCCATTACATCCATAGGCCATCATTTGTTTAGCTATTTCCCCTAACTGATGGGCTGCCCATGATTTTTCAATTCTTCACCTATATATATGTGTGTGTGTGTGTGTGTGTGTGTATACATATATATGGATGTATATGTATTATTCATATTTTCCTTCATCTTTCTTTAATCTTTTTGGGGTATGGGCATAGTGGTGGTATAGCTCAGTCAAACATTATGCACAATTTAGTAATTTGCGGGGCATAGCTCCAAATTGCTCTCCAGAATGGCTTGATCAATTTATAGCTCCATCAACAGTGCATCAATGTCCCTGTTTTCCCACAGCTTTTCCAATCATTTTCTTTTGTCAACTTTGTCAATCTGATGGGTATAAAGTACAAAGTCTGTGGACTTTTGAAAAGGCAACTTTTCGTTTGAAAAGATTTAAAGAAATCCTGAATGGGAAAACAACTGGAGGGATTGGACAATGATGTTGAGATAAGAAGACAGGATAGTATTTTTAGAGGTTTACAATTAATTTTTAATATATTTTTCAAGCCAGGCTGAATCGCAATGACTCATTCTGCCTTAAATGAAGCAATTAAGTAATCCTCAAGCCTAGTTTGCTTTTCCTCAGTGATGTCAAGATAGAAACAGATGCCTTCTGCCTATTTAGACACAGCTGTTCATTTTTTTTTTGCTTAGAAAAAATGCGTTTAAAAAGCCATAAAAATGTTTTCTTTGTCTTTCACAGATGTTGCCTTGTCACCAAGTGCCTCCCCAGCAGACATCATCCATTTCTGAATCATTATAGGCCCTTAGAAAAGTATAATAAAATTATGAGCAATCCATTTATTTCCTAACCCAGTATATAATTTTGGGATGTAAGATGCAAGAGTGGTCAGCCTTAAATCTCCCCTCTCTAATAGCAACTGAAGCTTCTTTTTAGAAAATTAGCAGAAAAAAATACCCAACTTTATTCCTCACCACTTTCTTTACTAGCTCTTGCTGATTCTACATCTTGATTCTGTGTTACAGGTAGATAATTATTAAGTCCAAAGAGGATGATCTAGAAACATTTATTGAAGAGAAAATAAAATGAAACTTTCCATCTTTTAACTTTAAATGCTAGGGATAGTTATCAAGAAATAATTTCATTTGCCTCAAGGGCATGAAAGGTAATTTATGAATGCAAATTGAAAAATGCAATTTTCATTTTTAATATGAACTGGATAAATAAGCTTATGAAATTGTTTGAGTCATGAGGTTTTTTTTAAAGGTTAAGAAAAAATTCAATCTATAAAAGTGCCTTTTTAAGGTCTTATATTTCTAGCTTTTGTGCCTATCATCTGTCCCACAAGGTGTACTCTTTTTCTTCCCTGAAAATTTTCATTTATATCAGAAATTGCTCAGGTAGTTTCCGAACATTTAAAAATACCCATATAGGGACTCAAAAAACTGTTGGAGATTTTCACCATATTCAAGCCAATGTGAAGTAGAATCAGAAGAATTAGAGACTTAAGTCAGGCATAATGTCATTTTTTTTTCTTTTTAGTCTGATATATGCAGTGTTCCACATTGATAGCCCCCCAATACCTGCAAAGAAGTAGGGTACCTTGGTACCTTTTAATGCCTCTACTTTGGGCCAAGCTTGGTCATTATGCCCTCTCAGCATTCAGTTTTCATTATTTTGTTCAACAATTTGCATTGTTGTAGTTTTGATCATTGTGCATATTGGTTTCCTAGTTATTTTAATTCACTTAGTCCACTATAGTTCATTTAGTTCATGTAAGTCACAGAACAACAGAATTTGAATTGGAAAAGATTAGTCCAACGTAAAAGGAATCCCCACAATAATATACCTGACAAATGGTCTTTCAACTTTTGTTCGAAGACCTCCAAAGAAGAGGGAACCACCATTTTCCAAGGCAGCCCATCCCACTCTTCAGACAGCTTTAGTTGTTGGGGAAGTTTTTGTTTCTGAACATCAAGCTTAAGCTGGCTTCTGTAATTTCTTCCTATTGCTC